GCTCGAGATTTTCTACACTTAATACAGCAAGTTTACAGCGACTCCGTCCGTGCAACATGTGGCATGCCTCGTCGTCACTGTCCCTGTCCGCCGCACTCCTCGCACTCCGCGCACTGCCCAGTTAATTGCGCAATTAGCTGGTTTTGTGGAACATCTGGGCAACTGTGTCGCGTCTCATTAAGTGCGATCTGACTGCTCAAATGCCCAGGGGGACGCGTGGCGGGATGGTCGGAGAGAAATTTTTAATTGCATTTAATTAACAATAATTTAACGAAAAACACTAAAACGAGAAATAAAATTAGCTGAAATTAAAGCCGAATTCCTTCACTGTGTGTGATCCGCAAATAAAAAGAGGATCGCATTTTTTAGCGATGAGATACGAATGAGGTATTAAACCTAGATAAAAATATTGTTAATATTCGTTTTTTTTCTAGGAATAATAAAAAAAAACTAGCAAGATATCTTTTAACATATTAAATGGATTTAAAAAAATATTGTCAATTGCTATTTACTATTATCTGTTCTATGTTCCATCATAATTTGGTAAAAATGTTTTACCTTTTCTTGAAATTAATTCTTGTTCCTTTTAAAATTAAGAACTTATGTAAGAAGTGCGGAAAATTAATCGACTGACACTTCAAGTGAATAGTGATAAAATCTACTGACTACCTAATAAATTTTATTTCCGAGTATTTTCAATAAAATGGTAATGCAAGATCAGCAGAGAAGGCATCTACAATTGAATAAACTCTTTTCCGCAACTCTTGAAAGGGATTATGTTGTGAATATAATTTGTCTATCGGCATAATTACCCAAGCACGACAGACTCACATTACTCCTATCGTTTATCTGGCATCTTTGACAATCCATCCATCAAGCATGATTGGATCCACAGAACAACCCCGAATTTGGTTCCTCGGCACTTCATTTCCATCTTGCGATACACGCAATGCCCACGAGGTAAAGTAGTATTTTTAATAGCTAATTGAACAAAATACTTTATGGAATGAAATGAATTATAGTTTCATGTTTTCGGACTACAAGAATTCGGCTATTTCACTTAGTTTCTCATTGTTCACGCAAAAGCATAAATTGTTTAATTGCTAATTAAGAATAGGAAACGGGCAACAAACGATAAACGTAATGAATTAGAAGGCGAATCGAAGGCAGTTGACATTATTTCAGTTCTAGCGTGTGACAATTCGCATTAATTACGAGAAATGCTCCAAAAAATAAGCCATTAAAGAGGGGCCAGCTTTATGGGCGAAAAGTGGGGAAGTGGGGTCTCTGAAATGGCAAAATGAAAGTGCGGAGATCCCCCGACTTTCCGCATTTGGCGTGTTTTAGGCTGCTGCTGCTGCTGCTTTTGCTGCTTGGACACTTGTGACATTTTCTTAATTGAAATGATGCGCGTTCGTTGATAAAATTTCGTTGCCTCCATATACGCGAGTGTATATATATGTTACGATACAATAATGCCGCACTTGGACACTCTCCTGCACGTTTTACTGATGATTATTATTACTCTTCATTATTGTTCATTATTAAATGAGCAGCGTGTGTGCGTGTTTTTCGCTTTTTGTGTAGGCTTTGTGGCATGTGCGGCATGCAATATCTTATTTTGGTGGCTCGGCGAAAAGTGAGCCAATCCTCGCAAGATCATCTACAAATGGAAACGCTCAAATGAGCACATACTTAAGCGGAATAATTGGGAATAATTTCAGTGCCGAACAGTTGAGGAGGCGACGTATATCCAAAAATATTTTAGGAATCTATTTTATTTTAATTTTTATTTTAAAACAACTAAAGCAGTTTTTAAATCAGTTAGGAAATTGTTTTGTAATAAGTTTAAAATTTAAATCAAAAAGATTTCTTATTTGAAGTAAGTAAGCTCTTTTGATATTAACTAGTAAAACATTTTCAAACGCAAAAGAAAGCTAGCAGATAAATATGACCATCATATTACAACCTCCATATTTGGGAAGAAGTGGTTAGCTGACTTAAACATTTTTTAGTACTTATTTCCCTTTGATTCGCCTTCTGGTTGGCCAGGCAATGTATTTTCAATTGCATTTGGCATTCGGAAAAACACACTTCCTGCATTTTCGCCACCCAGCCTATATTAGGGCAATAAAATTGCATTTTATGTTTGCACAAGTTTGCAAATTTGCCACACATCAAAAACAGAAGAGGAATCCTTTTAAGATGTCCGTCCCCGCCTCATTTGCACCAACTTCAATGCCTTTACGGGGCATAATTATTACTTTAATTATGCTTAATTAAAAAGGCCGCCCACCAGGAGGCGTGGCCAGGCAGCTGTCCAAACTACACGGCACATAATTAAGCGTTTTGCTTTGCGGATTTTCTTTCTTTCATTTTTACGATTTGCCTACGTAAAGTGACAACGTGACGCGATCGTTGGGGAATAATTTTTTTTTTTTGGTTTGGGGATGTTGAGGGGTCACGGGGGAATTGCAATTCTCCGCTGGCTTTTGGTTATTTTTAATGAGTGTGTGTGGTGTGTGCTGGTTGCCTCCTTGTTGATTTGTCCGCAGTCGTTTTGTTGTTTTTCCGCTTCTTGTGCCGCTGCATTTTTATGCGTTCGTCATCCGTTTGTCATAAAAAAGAAACAGCAAGCACTACAACAACATTTAATTTATAATTTAATATCTAATCATTTTCCCGTCGTCGTTGATTTTCTTTTTCACAGCTATTTGTGCATTAAAAGTTGTCGCAATGCATTTGGCCACAGACACGCGCATTTAATGGATTTCTCTGATTTGCTGAAGACGCCACTCAAAATAGTAAAAATCCCTCACTCAATTTAATGAGGTAAATTAATTTCGCAATCAAAGAAAACCGAAATTGTCAAATGGAAATTTAAATGGAAAAACTTGGGTAATGTTCGTTGTGAAAATCATAAATAGCTAACCAGCGGATCATAAGCGTAAACCGGACTATAATACATCGGTTTAAAGCTGGTCTATAAATGCCGACGGCTTTTTTAGAAACTGTTAACTACACGTTTAACTATCAAAATTGCGTTAAGCGTTAAATAGATAGTGTGTTTTGAATTTATAGCGCATATACTCACAACTTTAATAAATCTACATCTATCATAATTCTTAATAAAGTCAGTCACTTTTTTTTTAAATTAAATAAGTTGCAGTAGGTGGAATAAAGTTAATTTGCAATTTTGGGAAACTGAACGAAAGGTATTAATATATATTTAAAAGATTTAGAAGCGTTAATAGTTAAAAACTATATTAATGATGGCATTTCCGATAGTAATAATACATGCAATATTAAAGGCTTATGGACTTCTTTTAAGATCACTCCATGGATATCTAAGCTTTTCAATCCCCTTCAAGTACTTGGAAAATCTTAAATTTAAATGCAACTCATTTAGCCGCAAAATGCACCCGCTGAATGTCATTCCAGAGTTTGGCCATTACATCTGTGTGGGCCTTAGAGCCCAGTTAATTCTCGCTAAATAATTGCCGGCGATAACGAGGCGTGTAGAACGAGTTGGGAGCAGGGAAATATCTACGCTAGCTCTGCTTGGCAACGACAATGAAACAGGCAACAAAGAGACTAAATTCTGTATTAATTTGCAATTAATGCAGCTAATTATATTTAATTAAATGAGCGGGCCACGCTAACAATGCACTGCATAGATACGTTGCGGGTACTCAGATGGATGCAGATGGGGGGCGGTGGGATCGGTGGGATCTGTGCAATCGGTGGAATCACTTGTATCGCTGGGATCGGGATCCAGGTGAGGGGGGCTTCCAAGTAGAGCTTGGGCACTGGGAAAATGTACCGCGCAGGTTGGTCCGGCTTTGAAATGAAACTGATTATTACAATTGTTGTTACGCCCGCTGGCGCTGTTGTTAGTGCGAATTGTGCGCTGCTGTTTATTGTATCTCATAGATACGTTTATATTCGCAAAAATGACACTGAGCCACGACGAGTCAATTGTAATACATTTTAGTAATTTTTTTCGTGGGGTGGCAGCAGTCGCGAGGCTCGGCACATTAAACTATTTATGTGTAGAGTTTCATTCTGATTTCGTTTTGGCGATCGTTTGATGGGCCTCATTGTTGCAAATTGCCTCTGTCCACTGCCGTCGTGCCGTATTATTAGTTTGTTTGTGGCTATTTATTATATTTGGTTTTATTATTAGAACGTCGCAACTATTTTCGAGTCGCTCGCACAATTCGCTCGTGCACATGCTCATGCCAACGATAATGCTGATGTTGATAAAATTAACGTTAATTAAAGTTATTAACCGCCTGCAGCGAAATCGCATCAATTTATTGGTTTTTGCATATTACCATGTCAGGGTTGAGATTTACATAAAAATTGCATTTGGCTGTTTCGAACAATATTCGAGTGAGTGGAGTGCGTGAGAAGCCTAAAAGGTTTGTTTGTTTTTCTTATTTGTTAACGAGCGCTTCACTTAAATGGTTTTGCTTATTACAAAACTCATTATTTTATTCACATTTTGGGGTTAATAGTTTTCCAAGAATTTAATATTGCTTGTTTCTTTTTTAGTCTTGCGTTTTATTACACTGCAATTTTGATATCGACTCCATTTATGTACATCACACCGATTTTCATAATAAAACTAATGAAAATATTTGAAAACTTACAAGGTTATTTCAATATACTATATATTTGGTTTTTGGTCCTTCGCTCAAATATTTTTCTTCAAACTTTCTAAAACATTTTTGTCAGGAACAATATAACTATTAAACAAATAAAATAATTTGAAATGACTTTAAGTAACTTTTTTTGAAGTTCATCAATTTAAAGGAACAATATGATTTTTGTTTGTATAAAAAAATGTATTTTTTTTATTAATAATTAATAATATATAAAATAAGTATGCTATGAATTTATTTAACTATTATTGAAATAGAAATGCGGTTTTCAACGAATCCCTCAAAAATAAAAACTCCCATGTTTTAATATAAAGTTACTTAAAAGTTATTTACCGATATTTTAGGATTCTCAAGCAGCTGCCAAAATCGAAGTAGTTTGTTCCTTCAGTGTTGAGTTGGTTTTCTTGAATTCTTATTTTTGAATCACTTTCTTATTGGCCCATTTGTTTCTTATGTGTACCACTTTATAATTCTTATCACAATCAAGCACTTCATTCAAAGTATCCATAAGTATCTATGAGTAATAACGAGTATCTGAAAGATAGTTATCACCCACGCACTGGAGACGATCGCAACGCGCCAAAAATCCCAAATAGGGCTTTTCCAAACTAGTTTCAAAATCGCGGTACTACGACAATTCAATATGTGGTTCAAAAGTTGCAGTGGCAACGGTTAAGTACCGCTGATAATGATAAATATCGTGGGCACACGCCGAAGTTTATTAGCCTGCTTTGTTTGTTGCACACTGTGTTTTTGTTTATTTGTTTGTTGCACGAGTCGAGGCGCTCAAGATATGGCCGCTCGATTCCGGTTCAGATCAGCCGTCGTACGTTCAGGCGCAGCGTCGTTCGTCGACTGAATGAACGTGTGGCGCACGAGCGGCGCTTTGGACCCCCAGCAATCATCAGCATAAGTAGCAAAGGAACGACAACAACAACGAGCAGGGGAGCAAGAACGGCAAACACGAGCAAACAAAACGAAGGCGAAAACCCGAAGCCGCAGCACCAGCTCAACGGGAGCGAGCGAGAGGGCAGTATGGGGAGCCTGCGCTCGCTCGCTCGCTCGCTCTCTCTCCCTCTCCCTCTCTCTCTCTTGCTCACTCTCCCCCGCGGACGCTGCAGCGACGGCGGCGACGGCAGAGCGCCGACTGCGCAGGAGCAGCAACAGTATATGCAATTTGCTTGGCGCTGTTAAAATAAAAATAATGACGTCATTAAGCGCACAAATGAGCGACGCTGCTGCCTGCAGTCGACGTCGGCAGCGACGCTGGCAGCGGCAGAGCTTATAACTGTTGTTCTGAGGCAGGAGAAGTTGCACACTTGACGAAAGGCGAGCACTTAACGACAGCGCGAGAGAGGGAGAGCGCGTGCGAGAGAGAGAGGGAGCGAGTGTGGGTGTGAGTGCTTTCTGTGAGCGCATTTTGAGCACTTATTACAGCCAAACATTGCAAATTTTACACTGCACAAATCATGGATCATAAATCTGCATTTCCCTAAAAGCATTTCGAAGTACCAACAATCATTAAAAGGGTTTTTGGTGTTGACCATCTTATGTACAATTTTCTTTGCGGATGGTAATCTGTGGTCCTTATCTACCCATTAGAACAGTTTCAAATGCTACGAATGTGTTTTGTAAAAGGTTCATATTCACATTAAATTCTTTTTATTTATTAATTAAGTCACGTATGAGGCTTTCTATATTTATGTACACGGAATATCCAACATACATTTTTACTTTATTTATACATACTATCTCTTCTATTAAAGCTCTGTATAAACTATAAAAACTAAAAAAAATTTACTAGTTAACATAAAAGGCATCAAAAATGTAATGTACAACTCGAGCTGAAGACATAAGTCTTAAATTATATTTTAAAAAGCAATATTTTGCTGCCGAATGCGGTGTGACTGAGATAAATAAGTTGGTGTTTTACAAAACAGACGACTTAGAAGGCTCCATCAGAGTTTTATCCCCACTTGCTCTAAAATTTCATCCCCTTCGCCACTCTTCGACAACTTTTCCTGAGAATTAATAATTCAAGTTCCGATCCACAGAGCAATGCCAATGCCAAAAGCTTCAGTCACTCGCTCGTCGGTCAAAACCTTACTCGAAGCCCAGAACTCCCTCCCCCACTAACCTACCCACCCACCTCCCCTCCTCCTCTTACACCCACAATCTGACGTGTGCCGGCTCCACCGAACCGAACCACACCCCCGCCCATCCCCTTTTCTGCATCTGCTCGAACCGCTTCCAGAAAACCGAAAAGTGCCAATAAATATGGAAACGTTTTGCCTTGTTCTGCCCACTCTTCCACCCACTTGCTCCTCCCTCCCTCTCTGCCACGTCTTCTGCTCCTTCTTCAGCTCTATTTCTCCTACACTGGGGAAATAATTCTATAATTTTGTTCTGCTTTATCAATAATTTTTAAAGTTCTCTCTTCGAAAATTTTAGTGGAAAATGATGTTTTCTTTTACTTAAAGAACATTTTTTTATTTATATGTAATTAAATGAGACCTTTTTTTCATGGTGCCTTTTGTAATTTATTTCTAGCGTAATTTTATTTTGTTATATTGTTTTGGATTTTTATAAAAAGCTACACTCTGTTATTTTAAAATCGTGTATTTTTTACTGTCCAAGTTTGCACCTGACGGTTTTCGGTACATTTTTTAGGAGCAGAAGGGTCTGTGCTAAAATCGTACACTTAGTAAAGTGGTTAAGTTTTTTATAACTTCAAGCTTTGACATTCTGTTGGAATTTTTTATAAATACGATTTATCGGGCTATATTTTTCGAAAGTTTTTCTCTGTGTATCCTTGCTCCTTGGCTACCTTTGCACTAATTCACATTTGATGTTTTGTTGTCTGCGCTTGTTGCTGTTGCCGCTTGCATTTTTCTGGTCAATGAGGTTACAGTCAAGTCACTAGACAATCCCCCGCCCCTCCCCCTTCGTTCGGCCCCTCCCCTTCTCGGGGGGCAGAAGATGCAGCAGCGACTGGTGCGGTCTTCAACCGGTCGCTGTCGGTCAGCCGAGGCTGCCAAACAGGCTGCCTCTGCCGATTGCCCAGCCGTTGGTTGTTGGCCACTCCAGCCACCCACCCGCCTCGACTGGAGTCGACCGTATCGGAGGTGTCGATGACGTCGTAGTCGTCGTCGTCTGGAAGCCCCCCAAAAGCCCCTCCGGCCCCAAAGCCCAGTGAAGTGTCTCGCTCCACCTCTTCCCTCTCAAAAACCGAATCTGACTGCAACTGCCTACGCCATTTAATGATTTTGTTGCTGCTCCTCCTAATGTGATTTGCTAGGGTATGCACTTAGCCTCCTCGGTTGCCGATTACCCAGATTCAAAGCCAAAATCAGCCTAATGATTGAATGGTGAGGGTATCGAGCTGAGCTCGATCAGTGATCAGCAATCACGTTTGGCGTTTGAGCCATTTATTTTGTTAGAGTTATTAAACAACTTCTATTGAATTTGGTTACCTAATTGATACTTAAAGATAAATTGGACTAAATAGACAGTTAAAGTATCAAATAGGCGCCAATTGAAGATGAATGTGTCTGTATTTATTAATGTTATATTTTAGAATATAAATATCGAGTAGTGTAGTATGTGGAAGTTGAGTACACAGGATAAGAAAGTATGTAATTAATTTTTACAAAAAAAATGGTGCCTTTAAAACAAAATCAAACATTTTAAGGAGTTTGTTTTTATTTTTACAACGAACACCTTTGTTATTTTGACACTTCCGAAAACCGCTCACAACTTTTTCAACACTAAAAATATTATTGTTTAACTGCTCCAAAGAGCATTTCCGATTCGCACATCTTAAGAACTCTCTTTGACCATCACTTATTCTAGTGGTTGCTGACTTTGTTTTTAGCCAATTTTGGTCAATATTTAAGTGCCGGACGGTGCTTCCACTTCGGCGGCCACTTCACTGCTCTATCGGCGGTGTCTGGTCGTCTGGTCCACATCACCTCATCAACTTAATTTTCGGAATTTTCACATCGACCATCTCGCTCACTCCCCCGCGTAGTCCCGTCTTTGTCTTTCGTGTCTAATTTTGTGCAGCTTTTCACCGGCAGCTATAAAGCGTATTACCGTTAAATGTTGCACTGTCGAGTTGTCGTCTAATTTACGTTACCCGTCGGCCGAAAGGGGGAAGTGGGAGGTGGCAGTTGGGAGTAGGGAGGGATGTGGCCATGGTCGAGGATGCGGATGCAGTGGGGCCACTGCCCACTTTCCATCTTGGCTTGATTGTCATTGCAGCTCGCCAGTCTGGCCGGCAAACTGATTAAATTCAGCACGCGCCCTGCGGGCATCTTGGGAAACTTCTTCCCCGGCAAGACGAGATGCTTGGAAAAGGGGTTTTAAGGGGGATTTGGGGCGTTCCATGCACTTGGAAAAACTATTGTTTTTTTATAACATGATTAAATTTGCATTTCTTTTTTAAAGCGTTATTTATTTCTGTCTAAAAACTATCATTACTTCTTTAATTTATCGAGTATTTAAAGGCTCTTTCGGGGTAAACTCACTCTTTCATTGCCAAAAAATAATCGATTTTGATTTATAAAAATGACAGATCTATAATAAATCCATTTACAAATATTCTAAAATATTTTAGACACACTAAATACTTTCTTTTAAATAAATACATTTTCAAATACAAAGGATCCAAACAAATCTGATTGGTTAAATGCAGCTTGTTTTCCTTCGAGCTTAATAAATATAAGCATTTAGAAAATATAGAATTCGAAAGTTAGTTTGATATAACTCAAGATATTTCTTCTGTGTATAAATAAAAGGAGTTTTGGGCAGGGAGGGTGGTGGTAACTCAAAGTCATCAGCTTAGACGGGCCAGAAACTAGACGCTCTACATAAATTTGAAATTAACGTTTTCTAGCACATTGTCCGTCTGCCTCTCTCTTTCTCGACCATATACCCGTCTCTTTCTGTGGGGCTCCACTCTCATTCTCTCTCTCCCTCTTTTTCTCTTTAGAGCTTACATGCTTTCTGTAATTATCATTTGCCAGTCCGTTTGCCTTGGAACACACACGCAGACCAGCGTCTTGAGTCGATCTTTACTTGGCTTTCGGGCGTACTCCATCCATGTACCCCTCCCCCTTATCCGCCCAAACGCCCGTAATTAAATGCAAATCTCTCGTCCCCCGACTGCGTCTAATATATGGCCAAAGTGCCACGGGGCAAACTGTGGCCACATTTTCAGCAACGTTCCGAAACTTGTCAGCACCGCTCGCTAGTGTAAGAAAAATGAAGTGAAATACTCGAACGTGTATAAACCAAACAACATTAAAATTATCGCCTCAACGAGCCATAAAGACTTCGCAGCTGAAGGATCGCCCACGACACCGGATGGAAAATACCCTTTTTTTTATAAAGCTTGTTTGGAATTCCATTTAACGAGCTTTACAAAAAAAGTAAAACTCGTTTAATTGAATTATAAAATAAAAAAAGAAAATATAATTGGGATAAATTAAGAGTTTTAGATAAATACAGGGTTTACTTATTCCTTTAAATTTATTAACTCTTTATTATAAGTTATAATAATAGCAATAAAAACATCGTAGGGAATTAACATCGAAATGCTAGTTCTTTATAGGTACATTTTGCCTCCCAAATAAGATCTAATAACAAATCGATTTATGTAGACCCTAAAATATAGAAGGACAACCCAGTGACAGAGATGGGATAGTAATTAAGAGCGCGCAAACTTTTCAGCTTTGTTGGATGGTTCTTGTTGAAATGGCTGCTAATTACAAAAGGCATCCTGGCCAGCATCATTTGAGATATTTTTCCATTAACCGGCGACGGCGTCGTCATGCCCATGAAGTTA